GATCTTGGAAATTTTTATATTTTAACCTAGAAAACTACTTGAAAATATCTTTCTATTGTCATAAATTTCATAGAAAACGGAGTTGGGATGAATTTTATAAAAATAGTCGAACTTGCTGCCCCAACTAACCGTGGCAGTGCAGAGTCCGTATATGTAAAGTATAATTTCTTGTCGACATGCGCTTCTGCGGGCCATTAAAAGTTATGAGAAACATTTTAGCAAGTTGAAAATAAGTTTCTAACATGTAATACTTCTATTTAAGAGTATTTACATGTACCAAAGGCAGAAGCTATTATGTTTAGTACGTGACACTCGAAACTTAAGTTCGGGGCGTCACATGATTAGATGCCTTAGCTTGTGGATTGTCTGAATTCTCTTTTAAAATTTTCTCGGTTCATTTTTTAGACATGTCCACTTGCTCATCATCTGTTGTAGGCACTCTGTTCGTGATTGTAATTGGTCTTTTGACTGTAATTTCAAACAAATGTGCTCCACTTCTTGTTGTGATTGCTTTCACGGATAGATTCTTAATTATTTCATTTTCTAGAATACTTATGACCATTACTTGTTCTTTAGGATTAGTCTCAGTATTACTTGACAAGGTACTTGGTGCTCTGCCTGATATAGTAAGCGTCATCTGTCCCATTTGAGTTTTCAGGTTCTTGATTGAAGCACTTTGATTTTGAAGGATTATCTAAGTCCTTCTCATGAATGATTTGTCTACTTGCATGTAGTGCTCTTTTTTTTTCCCCATAAATTTGCCAAACATCTCTTCTAATGGAATTCTCATTTTAGGTTGCTAATGCTGATAACCATGTGGTGTGGTAAGATTTTGTTTACTCCAAGAAAAAATTGGATGCTTCCTCCAACTAGGGTTGTAGGTATTAGAATGTAGATTATTTTGTAAGGTTTCACCCCTTGTACATAATCAACTTGTTCTGTATCTTGTGTAAGAATTGGACAACCTATGTGTTGTGTTTACCTCACATTCTCCACAACTTGGCCTCTTGGCCTATACTGCCTTAACTGACTGTGATATGCTATCAAACTTATGAACCAAAGGGTCAATTTTTGCAGATAATGTCGAGTGTTCACCCCGTACACTCCTGATCCTTTCTTATGAACAACCCGCTCAAAAGTCCACACGGCTGTAGTGGTAGCCATTCTCTCAAACAATTCCAAACTGCATCAATTGTCTTCATAGATAATAAGCCATTAGATGATAAGTCCACCATGCTCTTTTAAGATAAAAATATACCTGCCTAGAAATATTAGACCTAGAGCCCCTTACTGATGTTGTAATGAGGACACTTTCGAAGTATGTTCTTGAATATGTTCCAAACCTCATCAAAGGATTTGATTTCTCCTTGTCGCAATATAGATATGTCATGTTTTAACTTCTCAATCTTCACTGGCAATAGGCTATGAATCTAACCATTCAAGGGCTCTATCACGTAGAGTGTGTGGAAATAATCTTAACTTGATAGCATCGTCTGAAATCCCTTAATACTTGAAGTGTTGACACATCTTCAAAAATCGAGAGACATGTGTATGTGTGGATTTTCATCAGATTTTGAGTCCAAATGTCGTTCCCACGAAGATTGTACTAGTTCAAATTTGAATTTAATTTAACCTTAACCGGAACAATTGAAATTTGTGATTTTTTCTATAATTTAAATAACCTACTTATGAACGTAAAACATAACTATATTTAAATTAATGTAAAATTATAATTAAATGCAAGTTTTATAAAATATATGGTGATGAAAAATGTATTAGAATCTCGAATCCCCTTATATCAATCTCCCTTTAACTTATAAACTTGTGAATTTGGTAACACGATTCTATTATGAAAACCAATATTTCCTTCATCGATCACTACCAATTCATTTACTTGAATAATCGGATTATTTTGTGCATTAGTCGTCTCTTGTTGTTGTGCAAATATCGTTAATAAGTAGTAAAATAGATTTTGAGTCCAAATGTCATTCCCACGAAGATTGTACTAGTTCAAATTTGAATTTAATTTAACCTTAACTGGAACAATTGAAATTTGTGATTTTTTCTATAATTTAAATAACCTACTTATGAACGTAAAACATAACTGTATTTAAATTAATGTAAAATTATAATTAAATGCAAGTTTTATAAAATATATGGTGATGAAAAATGTATTAGAATCTCGAATCCCCTTATATCAAACTCCCTTTAACTTATAAACTTGTGAATTTGGTAACATGATTCCATTATGAAAACCAATATTCTTAATTTGTTTAATAATCTCTCTTGGAAGAATTAAACATATTCTTACAAGTGATCCGACTATATTTCCATGACGGATGCAAACATATAAATATGTATTAAAGATTTATGATTACTTAAATATCACATAAATCATAGTGATATATTTATATCCCTATCGGACTATACGATAATTGGCACCATGTTTAACTTGTTTTTATTTTTCGAGGGTAAAAATAAGTCACAATATTCATACAATTAGTGATCAAGTAAATGTAGAGAAAAATATATTCATGTCAATCATTCAAGAATTGAAAATGTATTTTAAATGTCAAAAATAAATAAAATCAAGAGTTGAATGTTCATGATATAAGGTTCAACGAAAATTCTAGTACTAAATTATTTTATTCTAACATGTTAATAGAGAGAGACAAATAAAAGTCGAATGGTATCACCAATAAATTGATGGAACGTGATTAATCTCAAAATTTCTTATACAAATTGTTGATGAATTACGCACAAAAATCTGAATTTAATACTTCAATTATGCTTTACCTGTCTCTATGCGTGCTTGCTGTTTGCTTTTTTTCTGAGAAAATACACGAAAATGGCTCTTCCACTGTAGCAAAATTTGACATTGGCCTTTGACCCATTAAATGAATTAAAAAAAAAACAAATTAAGTTAAAAAAAAATTTCACAGTAAAAGGCCATTTTACCCTTCAGACTGTTTGAAAATCTCTCACCGACCGACCGACCACCGGAGTTACACCAACGTCGCAGTCAACGACCATCATCTACACCGAAAATAAAATAACCGGTTAGTTTTCATCACTTTTCTCCAGTTCATTCGGTTCATGGTATAGCACTTTCCTTAGTAATTTCGATTTAGTTAGATCCATGGGCATGAGTAGTTAGATTGTGGGCATGCTGGAGTGTGAAAAATGTGAATTTTTGGCTTTTTTTGGAGCTCAGTGGCCGAAAATAGCAGTTTCCGGCTGATTCCCGGCCCCCGGTTGTGTTAACAGTCGGTTTACCCGACTGTTTAACAGTCGGGTAAACGACTGTTAACAGTCTGGGTTGTTGTCTGGGCCGGTTAACGGCCCAGACTAAATATTTAATTTTAAATTTTTTTATAATTTTTGTAATTAATTAAATTTTTTATTTGATTAAATAGTAATTATGTTATTTATTTATTTAATTTTTTTATTATTGTCAATATAATATAATAATTGAAATATTGTAAAATTAACAATGTTGATTATTTTTTTATGAAATTATCTTTAATTTATTTTTTCAAATTTATTTTTTCAAAATTTTTTAATGAAATTATCTTTAATTTTTTATTTCAAATTTATTTAATTTTTATATTTGTCTTTTATATAATTTAATAATTGAAAAATTTTAAAATTAACAATGTTGATTCTATTTTTTTATGAAATTATCTTTAATTTATTTTTTTAAATTTATTTAAATAATATGAATAGTCTTTACATTTTAAAAAAAAAGGTAAAGTAATTATTTATTTAATTTTTATATTTGTCTTTTATATAATTTAATAATTGAAATATTCTAAAATTAACAATGTTGATTCTTTTTTTTTATGAAATAATCTTTAATTTATTTTTTCAAATTTATTTAAATAATATGAATAGTCTTTACATTTTAAAAAAAGGTAAAGTAATTATTTATTTAATTTTTATATTTGTCTTTTATATAATTTAATAATTGAAATATTCTAAAATTAACAATTTTGTGTTGTTCCTTTATTTTTTTTTATGAAATAATTTTTAATTTATTTTTTCAAATTTATTTAAATAATATAAATAGTCTTTACATTTTTCGAAAATGTATTTAATTTGAAATTTTTTGTTTGTAAATATATTTTCCAAATAAGAATTATTTTATTTAATTATTTAATTTTTATAATTTCCTTTTTTATATAATTTAATAATTGAATACATAATATTGTTCGAAATTAACAATTTGTTTTGTTCCTTTTATTATTCTTTTATGAAAATCTTTGATTTTTTTCAATTTATTTAAATAATATTTATATTCTTTAGTTTTTTTGACAATACATTTAATTTGATTTGTTGTTTTTTGTAAATATATTTTTCAAATGTAATATTTGTGATTGTATGGTAGTTAGAGTTCGGTTCTCTTAATTTTGTGAGATTATGCTTTCTTTTGTTATCTCTTGTTCAATACTATAACATTTGAATTTTGCAGGATGGAGTATCATTTAGATGCAGAGTTGAGACGGATGTCGGGGAAAGCTACTTGAAACAGTAGTTTTGAGAGTTTTACTGCTGTGTTGGAGCTGCTCGATGATCAGCACGGAGATATGCTACGACAGTCATTCTTGTGGCCACTATACCAGTTGCGAGAGGTGCAGTACTCAAGACAGATCATTGATGCACTTCTATGTCGGCTTCTGAGGCCAGTCAACGACGATTCCCCCCAATTCAACCTCGGGGGCAAGGTCGTCAGTTTCTCGATGTTTGAGTTTACATTGATCACTGGACTGAGGATTACGGGCGACGATGCAGCCATGGAGAGAAGTAATAGGCTGTACAAGACGTACTTCCAGGGACATGGTCGGTGCTTCTACCCGACTTGATGGTCGCGATCAGGGGGTGCGACCATATGCTAGATAGATTGAAGCTTGGGCTGGTCTACATCCTCGAGAGTGTGATGAGGTGTCATCACAAGAAGACTGTCATCGACATTTTTCATTTGCAAGTTGTTGACGACATCGATGCGTTCAACAACTATCCGTGGGGCTGAAGATGCTACGAAGACACCGTACATGTGTTCACCAGATCGCACTCGAGGCTCAGGGGGTCGATGCGTAAATACGATACATATGGATTGCCGTTAGTGGTGCAGGTAAATGTTTAATATAATCAAAGTTAAAATTTTAGTGTATTACATTGATGCTTAATAAGTGTATGTGTTACAGATTTGGGTGTATGAGACAGTTCCTGTACTGGGGGCCCACTTTACGCAGCGAGGGGAGACACGCTGCCCTCGGATGCATCATTGGAGATCATCGCGAGCGGAGGGATGTCCCACTAGGAAGCAATTATCGGCCCTCCTCGATGATCCTCAGGTAAGTATTATGCATTTGTGATTTATATTATACGTAGTTTAAAATTTTGTTTACATGATCGTTAAATAGTTGAAATGTCAATATGTCAGCTTGAAGTCATGCCTGAGTTGACGCCATCGATGGAAGAGGAGGCTCGGGGTCTTGTGCGGGATTTAGGCGTTCCGCACACCCCAAACGAGGAGATGTCTGATCTGAGCTTGGACCGAGATTGGGTATGTGAATGAAATATAATTTATTGAATATCATCGACGTATAAATTTATTGAATAATTTTTCATTTTATTTATGTAGGAGGGCGGTCCAGCTGATCGACGATCACCTCCGTCGAGGGCATCGCCGCCACCATTGGCATCATCTCCGCCGAGAGTATCGTCCCCGCCATTGGCATCACCTCCGTCGAGGGCATCACCGCCGCTAGTGGCATCACCTCCACCGGGGCCATCGCCGTCGCCATTGGCATCACCTCCGTCCAGACACCTCTCCCGTGTGTCTCCGGAGCACAGTGATGATTTGTATGCCCGTTTGACTGGATTTATAGCGGAGGAGGTCGGCACGCTACGACGAGATTTAACGGAGAGGGTCAATGATCTGGGACGAGAGTTGACAGGGAGGGTCGACGATCTGGCAGGGAGGGTTGACTATCTGACAGGGAGGGTCGACGATATGGGACGAGAGTTGACAGGGAGGGTTGACGATCTATCCCATGATGTTGGAATACTACAATCTTCCGTTGTTGACCTTTAGGATACAGTAGCGGCGCTTAGAGGAGATTTAGCCGGCAAACATTGGGGGACAGAGGGGATGGCGGAGATCATGATCGAGAGGATGGCAGAGATGGTGATGGAGAGGGGGATCACCCACATTTTTAGCGTGATGAGACATTGGAGTCATTGTGGTTGTCTATGGAGGGGGTGGCCCCGATGGGGATGGGAGAGGGGACTACGAAGGGGGTGGCCCCGACGGGAGGGACGGAGGTGGTGGCCACCCCGACGAGAGGGGCGGAGGTGGTGACGACGGAGGGGGAGGCCCCGATGTAGGGGACGGAGGAGGTGGCCCCGGAGGTCGAGAGGACGCCCGGCGTGATTGAGAGTAAAAGACATGCTGTTGATGAGACGGAGCAGGTGGTCGGCAAGAGGTTGAGAGTGCCGTCACATTATGTTGTTTCCCCCTTCACGACTGAGGCCAAGAGGAGGACGTTCATCGATGGGACGTACCCGAACTTATTCAGAGAGGTGGACAATGCCAAGTGGAAAGCGTTCGAGACAGAGTGGAGGAGAATTATCCCCGGGTAAGTATTGTATGATTTTAATAAAGCACTGTACGCTAACTCGTCTACGCTTATTTTAACATTTTCCTCTTTTTTACAGAGTTAGCCGCATGATAAGACAAAGGACGGTCTCGGACCCTTACAAGTGGTTCCACGATATCACCACTGCGGGAGCTTGGCTCGCTGACAATGTAAGTGAACTATTCATTTCGTGTTTTATATGTATATGTGACCTTGTGTTTATTAAATGAATAACTCATACATTTTTGGTGTTTCCTGCTGCAGCACATCGATCTGGCCATGGACTTGCTGCGAGATTGAGCTCAAAGACATCCAAAATCATTTGATGTCCATGGTCGAGTCATATTAAACATCGAGTTCCTGGGTGCCGTTACCATAGAGTATCAGTTGCTCGCACTTATGGGTAACAAGTACACGGTGCCAGAATATATGCTCGAGTGGGTGATAGGACTGTCACCGAGTGTCGGGGGAAAATCATGGGAGGGTTGTACACATATGTACATTCCAGCGTGCATCAATAAACACTATGTTACGCTGGAGATCGTTTTTGCTGACTCGACTATATATGTGTACGATCCAGATCATTCATGTTTGACACAAGGCCAGTTGGAGTAAAACCTGGAGTCCGTGGTTGTAATTGTTCCTATGATGGCCAAACAAGCGGGGATAAATGTACAGGACAGATTGCGAATCGTTCGGAACACGACGACGGCGCGACAGTCCGTAAGGTAAGTGTATGAACGTTGTTGTTTTCATATTTCAGATTTAGTTTTTATTTACACAGTACTGAACTGATTTATTCTTGTTCAATTGCAGGGCGACTGCGGCATATTTGCCATTAAGTACGTTGAATTTTTAAGTATAGGACAGAAGGTTGATGGAATCAACCAGTCGTGGATACAGAACTGGAGAAAGAAGCTAGCATGTGATTTGTTCGAATTTAATGATGACCCGTAAATTTCATTTATATATATGTAACATTTCAATTGTAAATTTAATTATTTTTGTAATTATGAAATAATTGTAAATTTGTGTTCAATGTATATAACATTCAAATTGGAAATTTAATTATTTTTGTAATTATGAAATAATTGTAAATTTGTGTTCAATGTATATAATATTCAAATTGGAAATTTAATTATTTTAGTAATTATGAAATAATTGTAAATTTGTGTTCAATGTATATAACATTTAAATTGAAAATTTAATTATTTTTTGTTATTTTACCCGTATGCCGAGTATGGAACTATTTTTTTCATATGAATCATTATAAATACCATTCATAGAGAATAAATATTGAATATGGAAGATTTATAAATAACAAATATTGAACAGTGTAAAGTAAAAGGAAATATTATTCATTTCACGTACCTGTCTAGTCCTCATTTAGGGGAATTTGACTGGTACAAAATTGCCGAGTATGCCCTATGGCTCTGCATCTACCACATCTACGCGGTCGAGGAAACTCTCCGGTAGATGGTATTCTAGATGTACTTGGACATCCAGGACCACGCGATTCAACTGCTGGTGGTAACAAATTATGAAATGGGAGAATGTGCTCGGGAACTTCCCACTCGGCTTCATTCGGCAGAGGAAATATAGTCTCGGCATATGCTGTTCTCCAAGACTCAGTCGTATAATACAAAGAGCATAACGTTCTAGCAGCAAAGCCTCGATACATGGCCACCGCAACTGCATGCTCACATGAAAAACTCTCCAACTGAAATCTCGTACAAGTGCATGTGTTATCAGTCAAGTCCACCATATATGTCGTATCACGTGCACATTGCACGGAGAAGCGAAACTCATCTAGTGCTCCCACATTCAACTTCCTCGCAACCTCTGCCGTCTTAAACAGTTTCTCCTCTTGAGCTGGGGCCAACACGCTAGTGCAACTCTGTGATGTCGCACGTCGATCATGAAACCACTGTTGTAGCTTGTTACGAATGTTATCAATCATTGCGAGAATTGGTAACTCTCGATCCTTCTTAAACAATACATTAAGAGACTCCGCGTTATTCGACGTTATCATGTTGTATCGACGTCCTGGAAAGTATGACCGCGCCCAATGTTCGATCCCCATCTTCGTCAGATACTCCAACGCCGGTAATGATTTACTTCCTATCTCGGCATGAACTTATTACACTCTTCAGTACTGTAAGCTTCGGCTGCTCTCCTGAACAATGAAACGATACTTGTGCCCCGATACCTAGTCTTCAAATTACCTTGTATATGGTACATGCAATACCCGTGATGTGCCTCGGAAAAAACTTCAGCGATACCGTTTATTATAGACTGTCCTCGATCGGTTACAAAGGCAAGGTCTTCGACTTCCCCGATCACTTCCCTCAGTTTAGAAAAGAACCAACGCATGGACAGATCATTCTCGTTGTCGACTATGCCGAATGCAATAGGGTAAATTTGGATGTTGGCATCTTGACATGTAGCAATAATTAATTTGCCTTGATATTTAGCTTTCTGAGTTGTTCCATCAACTAGAATTACGGGTCACATTGCATTTCGAAAATCTCGAATACATTGTCCGAGAGCCATGAAAAAATACTTAAAACAATTATCACCCCCCATCTCAATAAAAAATGCCGTGCCAGGGTTAGTTGTCCCCATCTTATGGCAATACCTAGCCAATTTAGCATAGCTCTCTTCAGCAGATCCCATTAAATCCTCCAACGCACATTCTTTGGCCTTCCACACTTTCTGATAGCTCATGACCACTCCGTACTCTCGACGGACGCTGTTAATGATGTCCGAAAGTCTGTAGATCATCCATGGATCCTGATACTTGTGCATTATCTGTCGACCAATAAACCATGCTCGAGCTTGCCTGTGATCGTTTCGAAGAATTCCCACTTCGCCAGTATGTTCCCGTAAATACTTGCGAATTACGAAGCACTCATTCGTGTCCATCTTAGTTGCTCTCAAGCACCAATTGCAACTGTCTTCGACGCAAGCAACTGTCAACAATGACTTATTTGATTTCTTTACCTTGAACTCAAAGTTATATTTTAATGTCAGCCGGTGCACAGCTTCCTGCAAATCTTTTTTGGTTTCAAACAGTTGCTCGACCTGCAATTCCTCGTCATCGAGAGCCACACGAGAAGAATTGGAGGACAGTCCACTTGTTCCAACCTGTGAGCTCCCACCAGGCTCGTGTCTCTGTCGGGATAAAGCAATCAAATTCTCATTTGTAAACTCGTTTATGTTCTCATTGTTTTAAACTGTCGACAAAATTCTGCGCGTAACAACGACGTCACGATCAGAAGCAACTGTCTCAGGAATACCCACATCATCCACAGGAACTATCTCCACTGTCTCCCAAAAACCTCGATCATTGTTATCCGCCCTATCTGAATTTTCGCGTTCACCTTCGATAACATCCTTCGTAATTAAAGTCACACCAAGAACGGTCGGAGTCCGATGCATTTTATTCAATTCTAATAGATAATTCAATTCATCATCATTAGTAACGAATACCGGTGGCATCGGAATGGATGAATCTCCATAACCGTTGAATAGATATCTCAATTGCATATCGTATTGAGATTGATCGACATTCAGCTTGTTTTGCAAATCGTGGTACATTTCTAAGTACGGTGTACTCTCTGTTACGGGAATTGCAATACAACCACGTATGTCACTTGTCCATCTTCATTCCCACCGATTATTTTCATTCAATTCAAAATCACCGAAATAACACACGGGGATTATCATATCTGTATGAGGAAATGGTTTTAATCAACTTCAAATATTAATTATAAGAAAAATGCCAACAAAAATCAGCTGCAGCCAATTGGCTGTTTAACAGGCGAACAGCCGGCTGTTAAACAGTCAAGTAGTCGGACTATTTCCGACTGTTTGGCTGTTTGTTAAGCCAAAACACTCAGTTTGGCGTAGGAGAATACCGTTCTAAAAATGAAATTAAACATGCGTAATTTAAATGTAAGTTATACATCTATTTAATTTTTTTTGATAGGTAAGATCTGTTAAAAAAAATCTATGTCGACATAAAATTTCTCTATTTAAACGTACACTAATTTACTGAAAACGAAATTAAACATGCGTAAATGTACTTACCGATTTGAAGTAATTGATGTGAAAAAAATTTTCAACTTCAACGTTCCAAAGTTCTTCTAGATTTTGAGGTTCAAGCAGATGAAAAGATGAGAGTTTTTCCTGTGTTGGAAGCTCGTTTTGAAATTTTTATAAGTGAGAAAATGTTTAGTTTTCAATTATTAACTAAAATGATAGTATAGTCCTTTCAACAAGATATTGTTTTGTAATTGTACAAAATATTTAAGGGCATCTTTGTCTTTTACCATACAAGAGGTCAATGTCATAATATTCATGATTTTGGAAGTCAAAGTGAAATTTAGCTCCTTTGACTGGATCAAACTTAAAAGTACCCCAAAAAGTTGATTTTCTAAAATCTAGCCATAGCAAATGAAAGAACAAATTCGTATAACAAGCCACCAAGGTCGTCCTTACGGGTACCATCAATTAACTAGCATATGAACATCAGTTCTGTATTAGTATAGAAATAAACAAACTAATCAACAAAAGATATACAAGGCACTCCTAAGAAGGCTTTGATCGCCAAAAAAATCTGCTAAAGTTGAAACAATCTACTACTACTGGAGCATTCCTGGAGTTGAGCACATGGAAACTGGTGCCTTCGACCTCCAATGTGCAAAGTTGCATGAGTCGCAGATTGAATTCCTACTGCACGTAGTTGGATGTTATTATATGTCAAATTCTACACAGGTTTATCCACACATTCACTCTGCACCAGGCTCAGAAGAAAATCAGTAAATATATGCTCATATTCTGGCATTTTCCCGAATCCTGCATATTATATACACAAGGGAAGTAAGATCTCCTTTTGGGTCAAACTTAAAAGTACCCCCTTTTTTCTCCTGAAGCCGCCAATGTGCGTTTTTCCCCCTTTTCTGCTTGCGTGAGTGTAATATATATAGGGCCCTGCTATTTGAACAGGGGCTGAGGTTAGCCCCTAGCATAGGGTTCTAGCAAAAGCCCCTCTTTGAATAGCATAACACACACGCACACACATAGCCGTCAATTTGCATTGTAGTCCCATTGGAATTCTAAATCTTCCCCATATAATGAAGTCCAATTCCATTTTTATTTTTTTATTTTTGCTTGTTTGTGTGTCTCCTGGCACCAATGTCCCATTCCCATTAGCCATTGAGGGTCCTTTTTCAAATTATTGAGGCCCAATATCCAATATGCTGCTTAGCCGCCAATTTTTGTCCAATTCCGATTGAATTCCCCCTGATTTTCAAATTCCAATCACCACCGACTATTCAAAAGGGAGTCCAAGCCCAAATAAACTTTTATCCATTTTCAAAGTGAAAATTACATAATAAGGGGATTTAAAAATTACAATTCAAAAATTAGAGATGAAGTTTCATTATTCACAAATTAGGTATTAATATAATAATTAAATATTAAATATCTTCGTCCAATTCAATTTCAAACTTTTTTTTCCTTATATTTTCTCTTTCTACCATCTTCCTTCTCTATATGACTATATTATCTCACTTCTCTCTATCACAAATCACCATCAAAGATTTCGTCGACAGCGTTCACGACGTCGCCACTGTAGCAGCGACGCTCAAAAGTACCAGCATTGTGCCATCGCTTTTGTGCCTTTGGAGATCTGATTGGTGGTTTTTGTGCTGATGGTGGTGAGGGAGTGGTTTGACTGTAAAGGTGGCGACATCGATTGTGATGATGTAGTGGTTGGTTTCTATTGGTGTGGTAGTTTTGCATTAAAAGGTGGATTTTAGCAGGCGGTTGTTGTGGTTGTGTAGTGGTTGATTGGAGTTGCAGGTGGAGGTGGTGGGAGGTGTTAGAGCAGGCAGTTGTGGAGGTGGCAACAACGATGTGTGTGGTGGTGGTGGTCTTTGTCATGGTGGTGATTCTCATGGTGTTAACATTGGTGGTGGTGATGGAGGCTGCAATGGTGTGATTTTGTTGATGGTCTTGGTTAGAGATTTTTTTATTTGTAGTATTTTGGATTTGGATTTTTCGGTGTAGCGGCAATGTTTGGATTTGGTAGTTCAGGATGGGTGGTTGATTTGTGACCAAGTATCGATGTGGGGGTGTTTGTAACTAAGTTTTTCATTTTTAAAATTTGATCACTTGTGACTAAGAAATAATCCGTGACCAACTAATTTTATGATCTGTGATCGATAAATAAACTATAACATATAAATTTTTTAATTTGTGACCAATGAAATAAATTATGACATATAAATTTTTTAATGTGTGATCATGAAATAATTAGTGACTATTTAATTTGATAATATGTGATCAATAAATAAATTCGTGACCTATAAGGACGTACATGTGACTATTAATTGTATAACTGTGATATTAATATATTTAATTATTAAAATATATTTAATTAATTAATTAATACCTGATTTTTGAATTTTGAAACTTAAAACCTGAACTTAATACATGACTTGAGAGAATTTTTTCCCCTTTTCAAATTGGTTTGAAACCTAATTAGTAAGATAAGTCACCACTTTTTCCCTTTAATGAAATTTAGTCCTTGATATAAACTTATTTGTGCATCCCGTGTCGTCTTTAACTCAATTCAAGCCTTTCAATTCCCAAAGTGTGAAATTTTATCCCCAAACTTTCCATTAAATGGACAATTTATTATTATTTCCTTTCCAATTGTTTCAAACGAGTTCATAACTAAAAATAAAAGAAAATTAACCTAACTTAAGTAGAAACTAATATTTTTATGACATAGAAGGTCTATAACATAGTATGGAGAAGTACACAAAATGCACTTATTTTATTTTGCAACAGCAGTCCAAAACTTTCACTTCGACTATAGTCAAAGTCCATTGAATAGAAATAAAAAGTTTAACTCAAAATGACAAAATAAGTGTAGGTGTAAAATGGTAAATTTACGTTTTCTATAATAAAACATTTAAAATAATTAAATAAAAATTAAAAATTGAGTAAATATGCTAATAATGTTGTTAATGGTGTATCTTTGAAGAAGTCCATGTCTTTATCCAAGGAGGCAATATGCTAATTATTTTGTTACTTCAAGGGAAAATTGATTTTGAGTTTGCATTAAAATTGAGAAAAAAATATTTACTATTTAACTACAAGTTTAAGAAGACTTCTTAGTCCTTCCCACTATAAGAAAATATTAATAGATTTTTTTTTTTAATTGTATAAAAAATGACCTGCCGGCGTCAAATTAAACACTGTTCATGTTATACTACTGTTGATGTAGCAACAACTACAAACATTATTTTATTTTATTTTATTTCATTCCATTGTTTGCTTCAATCAATCGATGATTATCACAATTAATTATAAACATTTTTTTTTAGCTTTTCATTGTTAAATTCAACGTGATCAAATTACTGGAAATTATAACTAAGCGTATTAGTAAATTGATTTACGAATAGAATTAATTTATAAATTTCTTGATTTATTTTATAAGTTCGACATACAAGACATGACATAAAAAATAACAATTTAGCCCCCCGGGCACAGCTCAACTGATGGATCAATCAATATATGTCCTGCTTCAAGCGGCAGGGTGGAGGTTCGAATCATGGTGGGAACTTGCGGCCAGATTTATTTGGTATGGAGCAATCACTTTGGAGGAGGATCTATTGTGCGCAGAAGTGTACAGGCGGTGGGGGGAACCCGTGATCCAGTTGAGACATAACCCGCGATTTACCCCCTCCAAGGTTCTAGGGGTAAGGATCTTGAAGGTCCAGAATTTAGTCTAGTGTAAATTGAGATACCTGGATATCAAAAAATAAAAATAACAATTTAAATTATAACTGTAGATATTCTTTTATCGCATCACCGCATAGATTACCTCAACATAGAACGAATGTCAACTAAATTGTCATGATTGATTAATGTACATATAATATTATTCTTACTTTCTTTGTATCTGACAACGTGAAATGTCAAATTTTCCCAAATTCATTTTTTCTTGTTAGGGACAATTGATGTTGTAGATAAAGTAGATAATTTGATTACATTTCTCTCTTTGTTTTTTCCACAACAATTTGTACTCCTTTGAATACTTGTCAAACGCACACACATTAATGTGAAATCAAGAACTGAAGACCGAAACAAAAGTACATGTCGAGAACTCGTCCAACTTTCAACGTGGAAAAAGCTGCAAATGTTTGAGGAACATTAGAGAGATAGATATAGAGAGAGAGGGTGTGTTTTTTTTCCTGTTTCTTCTTTCCTCAGATCGTGTAGCAGCTCCGTAGAATCTTCTTTTGAAAGTTGAAACTTCTTCAACCCCTTTTCGGCACGAAATTTTTTGCATACAAGTGCATACATACAGAAAATATACATCAAACAAATGTTTCTGGGCTTTTCCAATACTTTCTGAAACTTTTGAAAAATAATGTACGAATCTGGAAAAGTTCGTTTAGTTCGTTGCCCAAAGTGTCTGAATATCCTTCCAGAAGTCACCGATTATTCTTTTTACCAGTGTGGAGGTTGTGGTGCTGCGCTGCGAGGTACCTTTCTGTCAAATTATATTTATCTTCTCTCTTTATTTTCTATTTGAATTTCACGAAGAAAAAGGAAAAGATTGCTGCAACTATGGTCTTTTTCTATCACCAAGTTGTGTGCTTTGTGAAATATTTGCTCAATTAATTTGTTTTTATGACATCCCAGTTCTTGTTAAATATTCAATACTGCTTAACCTGTAAATTATGGAAGAATTTTTTTTCCCCGTTTTTCTTTGATTTTGAATGGGTATATTTTGTACACGTTATCAGAGAACGACCTAATTATTATTATTATTATTATTATTATTATTATTATTATTATTATTTTGGGTTTTCAGCTGTTGACTTTACAGCCCAGAATAAACGTGTTGACTTGGACAAATTATCAGAGAAGTCTGAAGAAGAAATGGTTGGTGGTATTTTAGAGAAATTTTCAGGAAAATGTGAGCAAGTAAATATTGCAGAGAAGAGAATAATGGATTCGAGCGATGGTTCTGAGAGTGATTTGAGGTCAAATATTAGTTCTTCAAGCAGAGGTGAGAGGAGGACAGACAATTATGGTACCAGTCTGATGGATAAAGGCAAAAAGGGGGCTGTTGATTCACCAGTAGTCGAAAAACCAGACAATTTACGTATTGCAGAAGATTTTGAGGATTTGACGATGTATAATGAAGATAAAAATGGGTTGCAAAGGTCAGAGCATATGATGGATAGGAGATATGGCGACAGAAGTCGGATGGAGAGGTTCTTGAGGGGTCGAAGAATGGATGTTGAAGGTACGAGATATGCGGCTTCATTGTACTCAGACGAAGGTTCTTTTAACAGGTTGAGGTCCAACTATGCTTATGAAGGTCAATTGAAGAATAAGAATGAAGCGGATGAGTTTAATGAGGTTGATGGTGTTGGAGAAGATCAGGCTGTGCTTTTGAGGAAGATGGACGAGTTGAAGGATCGGGTCAGCCAGTCTGCTGAAGATCTTGATCGAGGGGCACTACGTCGGGGTTCTTATGTTGATTCTGAGAATTGGCATCCTGATAGCTCTTTGGGAATGGAGATGTATAGTGAGGATGAAAGTCGGTTGCAAAAGTCAGATGGTATGATGGATCGGAGAAATGGGGAGAGAAGTCGGATGGAGGGGTTTCGAAGGTATCGGAGAATGGATGTAGAAGATATGAGATTCGCATCTTCTACGAACTCAGAAGATGGTCCTTCAGATAACAAGTCGAGTTTCAATTATGATCATGAAGATCGGGGGAGAAATAAGAACGGCATTGATAGGTTTAACAGGGTCGGTTATGTTCGAGAAGATCGAACCCATCTTTTGAGGAAATTGGATGGGTTGAACGATCATTTTAGCGGGTCTGATGAAATGGTTGACAAGGCTAAAGAAAAGGTTTCCCTTGATCGCAGGACAATTCGTCAGGTACCTTATGCTGGTGTTGAGAATTGGTATTCTGATAGATCTTTGGGGATGGAGATATATAATGAAGATAAAAGTGGATCACAAGGGTCAGAGCGTATGATGGATCCGAGAAATGGGGAGAGAAGTCGGCTGAAGGAGTGTTGGAGGGATCGGAGAATGGATGTTGAAGGTATGAGAAATGCAGAATCAATATACTCATCGGAGGGATCATCAGGTAACCATTCGAGGTCAAATTATGATTATGAAGGTCAAATGGAGAATGACGTGTATGGGTTTAACAAGTTTGGAGAAGATCGAGATGAGCTTTTGAGGACATTGGACGAGTTGAAAAATCAGCTAAGTCAGTCCGGTGGAATGGTTCCTCTTGATAGAAGGACAATTCATCAGGATCCTTATGTTGGTTCCGAGAAACGGTATTCTGATAGTTCTTCTGAAATGCAATCCTCGCATCCTGATAAACAGTTTGGAAGACCACCTAGAAATCACTATGCCGAGCCATCTGTGCATAGGCAAGAAAAGGGTGGGCATAGCTTTTATCCTCCGAGATACGCTCCAATTGTGATTCCGATAGGGTCTCAAATGCTCGGCAGAGATCCAAGTCAACGTCCTGCTCCATTTCGACGACCTCCATCTCATGCCTATTTTTCTGGGGAGTACATGGATCGAGTGGAAACTTACCCTCTTAATGTTAGTCATCACCATCCATCTTGTTCTTGTTTCCATTGCCACAACAAAAGACAAGTCTCTCTTCCTGTCCCACCAACTGCCTTCAGCAATAAACAGTTATCCAATTTACCGGACAATAGGGTGTTTAATAATTATAAACCTTCGAGTTCATTTGGTCCCAGAGAATACGATCCTAGGGCTGCCATTCCTCCTCCCTTAAAATCTCAGAATCCTCAATCTCAAACAAGGTTGCCTAGTGATCAGAACTCTGAAGTCAATGATTTAATTCATTCCCGTCCTCCCAGATTGCGTACAGTGAGCAGTGGTCGAATTTGCCGCCCAATAGCAGGGGGTGCTCCATTCGTGACATGCCACAACTGTTTTGAGTTGCTGCAATTGCCCAAGAAAGTAATGTCTGAAGATAGAAACAAGAACAGAATTAGATGTGGGGAATGTTCTACAATAATCGCTTTTGCAGTTTCCAACAAGAAACTAGTTGTTTTCATTAATGTAGAAGAGGAGAATACTCTTGCAGAGGTTGATGATAGCCATGATGTCTCTAAACCAGGAAATTCATATGTCCATGGACATCTGAACCAAGCTAGCACAACCTTTTCATCCTATGACTATGATAATCCTGGTTATGATTTCCAGTCGATGGATAGAGAACCAAGCTCCTCGTCAACGTGCCAAGCAAGCTCAAGCAATTTTGCAGAGGTGAAGATCCCTCACACTACTTCTCGTAGTACTTCTGCGGCAGAGGAAGATGAAAATATAATTGCCATAAGAAAAGATCCCGATTCGGCTGAGCTAGCCTCAAAGAGAAACGGGCCTCTACCTCCCGATGGATCCACAATTCAAGATGAAGTGATACCAATCAAGAGTACTGCAGAGCAGAATTCTATGAATAGTACATCAGCGGCTACTGAGATTGATATTCTGACCAACGAGTACTCTAATACGGGAACATCTCTAGAGTCAGGTGAAGGAAGTAGAGAAGGAGATCGACTAAGAAGCAATAGAGCAGCCGAGTCATACTATGCTGGCATTATGAGAAAGAATTCTAGGTACTTAATCGAATCCAACCAACCGCTCGAGCATGAAGAAGCCAATGTTACTGTTAATGGGCATCTTATACCAGATCGATTGATTAAAAAGGCTGAAAAGCTGGCCGGACCGATCCATCCTGGACACTATTGGTAAGTGTACATATAATAAATCAATCACGCCTTAAATATACAAGTTTTTTAATTTAATCTCAGAATGCTAATATTTCTCAATTCTTCTTATTTTTCTCTACTAGGTATGATTACAGAGCTGGATTTTGGGGTGCAATGGGAGGTTCTTGTCTTGGCATAATTCCTGTATGATTTTCCAGTTCCTGTATCGACACTTAGCCGTAGTTTTACGATGATAACTTTGATCTTTCCGTGATTTTAACAAATTCATTTCAATTTCTTGCAGCCATTTATTGAGGAATTCAACCATCCCATGCCGGAAAATTGTTCTGGTGGAAACACAAGTGTTTTTGTGAATGGTAGAGAACTTCATCGAAAAGATTTGAATTTACTCGGGAATAGAGGGCTCCCGATAGATAGAGATAGATCTTACATCATTGAGATATCTGGTCGAATCCTAGACGAGGACACTGGTGAAGAGCTAGAAAGCCTGGGCAAACTTGCTCCAACGTAAGTTGCGATTTTGTGATAATGCCGGAAAATTGTTCTGGTGGAAACACAAGTGTTTTTGTGAATGGTAGAGAACTTCATCGAAAAGATTTGAATTTACTCGGGAATAGAGGGCTCCCGATAGATAGAGATAGATCTTACATCATTGAGATATCTGGTCGAATCCTAGACGAGGACACTGGTGAAGAGCTAGAAAGCCTGGGCAAACTTGCTCCAACGTAAGTTGCGATTTTGTGATATGTGTTTAATATGTTTCGACTAGAGTTTTGTCTAAATTAGAAAGAATTTGATTTTGCCTGATGAAGTTTGCATGAGTACCATGTGACATTGGTCTAACTTGGAGCAATATGTTTGGCTAAGCTTAAAAAGTCTTAAATAAATAATTTTTTATCCTTGAAAATTGGAAATAAGCAAGCTAAGAGTTACAAATAAGCTACTCAGAATTGAAAGCTCAATGGGTAATGCAAGGTTTTTTTAAGTTTTATTTGCCATTCTAATGTTTGTCCTAGGATGTTTCTTGTTTTCATGACATCATTTTGCTTGAAGAACTTATATATAAGATCTTACATGGTCGAAAGACACCTTATTCGCCATGTAATACAAGTTAAATCTTTACTAACTAAAGATCTTGAACAGTGTGGAGAAGGCGAGGCGTGGATTTGGCATGAGGGCTCCGAAAGTGGCCGCTTGATATGGGTTTTTTCAAGACTTGTATTGCACCTCTATTCAAGATTCACAAATTCACCTGTTCAAAGAATTTATACGAGGATCTCTGTCTGAATAGTTCGCTATGGTAAGAAAAATGCAGGAATCATGATTTGTACACTGATTGATATGTAATTATGTAAGATTTGTTGTACTGAGCACTTTCTTAATGTGAAGAAAAGTTCGATATGGTTTTGTGTCATTCTTTCTAGAGCAATAACCTCAATCCTGGATACACCATATCATCAGGTCGTCCTGGTAAATATGGTTTTGTATTGTTATAAGATATTCAAAAAAGACAGCAGGACATCACAATGACAACGAATTCCCATTCTCAAGTGGGTTTGGAAATTTCGATTTATTCTACCAGACAATTTAAGTTCTTAGCAACAACTTAAAATTTCAAATCGCAACAGTCAATTCCCATACAAAAACCTTGAACAAGTTTTAGATCACATCTAAAGTTCAATATTCTCTTTTACTTGGTTGAAGGTGCTGTCTCTTCCTTCCTTGGCTGTGTCTTGCGGAATCGGTCCTGCAGGATGAAAACATGAAAATAGAAGATCAAGAAAGCGGAATACAAGTCTCTCAAGTAAAAAAATAACACAATGTCTCCAGTCAATGTAACAAATCAAGTTAGTGATGATGCACACCCTTCTAAACAAGATAAGTTTGAACATGAAAAGCAGGCCTTTAACTTCAATTAGATTGCACAGCAAGATGTAGCAGCTAAACCTTCCCTAAAGATTCTTTTTAAAATTCAAAATAATAGTTAGTAAAGAACATTGTGTAGCTGCTCACTTCGAGTATTATGTACACAAAATTTTGAATAAAATGTTAGTTTTCCATCGATCCTCTAAAAAAGCTCCTGATCCTGAATTAACCTGTAAATTACTTCTTAGGGATAAATTATTGAGTGGACGTTCAAGAAGTATCTCGTTACTCCTTTGCATGCACAGCACGCCGACGCGCCGGCTTCATTCTTCCAAAACCAAAATATTAGTACTTATAACTCCCCTAAACTTCCTCTAAGACGACAAAAATTTCGAGTAGTAGTTTGATAGAGTAAAAATGAACTGAAATTAGATGGTTAGAAATCCAATATCTTTCCCAAATCTTATAGGCCTAAGTGCCAACAGCCAGTGTTGTACCTTTGACTAACTAAACAAGATTTTTTTCCCCAAACTAATCTTTTCATTCTTTCTAGTCGAACATATCACCAACAAAGATTGAGAAACTTAATTAGAGTAATCAATTGAATGGAAAACCCACCAAGTCATTCGAACAAAAGGATCCTTGAGATGAATCTTTTTTCACTTTTTTGGTCATAGAAATCTTTATACACACTCACACAACACTACTACAATAGAATTTAACGACCTAATCAATTTATTTTGAAACATGAACAAAGGGTTATTGTTTCATTATTAAGAAACATGGGGAGAGCACTTCGTCAGTAGATACTTCAACTATAACAAAACTGGCAAAAATGAGATCATATATCTAATTGATAAAAAACGACACCTAATCAAACATTCGAACTGAAGCAATAAACCCAACACTACCAAACACCTGAAAACATCAAGGGAAAAAGTAACTACAACAAAAAACTAAACTTTTCTTCTGCTCCATTCGTTGCTAGACCTTCTGAGAGATCTAAAGCAAATTGGGTCCTCCTTAGCAACTATTACATGCCATGTTAACTATGGTCTACCCCTCTTTTTCACTTGCTCTTTCAAAATTTTATCAGTCATTCACTCTTATGTACACTCAACCTAAAATGATCCATCACAGTTAACGAATATAATACTTTGGCATGAAAATTCATACCTTCGAGAACTTCATTATGCACTACCCTTAACAAGCTGTACTAATTATCAGTCCCTTTTAGCTTAATGTTGATTTCATCATTTTGAATGGATTTCTCAATTCATGGCATTTTATTAATTTCATCAACAACAAAGTTGAAAGACCCATTGACCCCTCGTAAACAAGTTGCATAATACATGGAAAATTAAAAATTGAATCTGGCAAAGAAAAACGAAATAAAAATTGCATTTTCTAGATGGATCCATATAAGAAAAGATGAAAGGTTTGATTTGGGTATTCACCCAATTAAAAATATGCATATCAATACGAATCCCCACGAAATAGATAGTTCACCGCTATTAATCTAAAAATTATTCAACGATCATTTACGGAATCGAATATAATCTAAAAAGAAAGAAACAGATAATTATATATTGGGAAAATGAAAAAAGGAAAATAAATAAACTAAAGGCTTACGTTTTCGATGAAGAGGAGATCGACCACAACAATTGTTCCGACGATTCCAGCAAGAATGGCAACTGGGCCCGTCAACAGACTCCATTTTCTGTATATCATCTTTCTTCTCTCTTTCTCTCTCTATGTGTGTCCACCACATTCTGGAACTGATACGTATATACGTAAATTGGATCGTGGGCCGTTGTTGGGTATTTGGGCTTCTCATTGATGGCGATCCATTATGTTGGTTAAATGGGCTAATGGATGGCACTTTGACCCGATGCTTTCGAACACTGTTATACGGATCCGGGTGTCCATATTGAATTACATATATCAAGATGCTTAATTGATCATTTCTTGGCATGTACTTTCGGTTCAGTAGAATTTGCATATACGTTTAAAAAGAGGAATGGAGGTTGATGACAAGACGTGTAGGTAAATTAATTTATTAAGTTCTCAATGAAATAGGATTTTACACAATGAAAAATACTTGCTATTTATTGTTTAATTATTAAACTTCCGAACACTTGCTATTCTTTCATTTAGAGGTGTTATAAGTTAGATTAGGATGAGTTATATAGAAAAAACATAAAGTTCGGTTTAGAGCTATCAATGGGCACAAGCTCGGTTTAGCCCATGGATAAGTCGAGCTCAGCTCGTGTCCATACATGGTGCTCGATTCGATCATTTGGCTCATGGGCCTCATAGATCAAGTCGAGTTGTTAATGAACTTATGACTAGGCTCATTTTTTTAAATTTTAATAAAAAATTGAAATCCTCATTTTTTGGGCGAGAGATCGATTACTTTTGACGTAGACGAAGTTAAAATTCTACACGAACAAGATAATTCTTAAACAATTTTTCCTAAAAAGTCAGAAAAAAAATTAACGTAAACGACACTTACAAATTATGAAGTCCAGGTATTAATCTGTTCAATTTATTTTATATTCAAAGCTCTGTGTGTTTTCGGTCCTTAAATACATAACTCTATGCAAGATGCAATTCATGGAATAAATTTCCAAGAAGATCGAAAAGTCATATGGATGACAATTTTGAATCAATTCTACCTCTAGATAAGAATTTTTTACGCTGATTATTGGCTCAAACAAATTGGTTGCATTCATGATCTCCTGAAAAATTCTGAAACTATTTTTTATCATTTCTTAGAATAGAATAAATAGATTTTTTAAATAAAATTGAACAAAAATAACACAAATAAATAAATTTGGAGATAATAAAACTTTAAATTGCACAATAAAAGAGCTAATATGAAAATCATAGTAATTGTAAACTGAGATGGTATAAATTTATGGAAAAATGAAGCAAGGATTTATGTAGGAGAAAATGACAAAAATTTTAAAAAATTAAATTAAAAAATTGGACCATTGGTAACTATAAGAAAATAGGGAATAAATTGCTCCCTTTGCAAGGAAAGGCAGAATGAACCAGATGTAAGCTTGAAGAATGATTTTATTGAAAATGTCTTCAAGTGAATACAATAGATCAGCTCCACACGTATATATACAGTGAATGGGAAGGATCTAGAATACTTTCACAAAGAAAATGCTATACAACAGAATCTAACAGAAAAGTGAAAAGAAAAGAATGCTACGTAACAAAATTTAACAGAATGGCCTTCAATGACATTTCTACCCTGCACCATCATGCTTCTCCTGATGACTATCTTCTTGTTGATTAACAATATGTTGCTGCTGACTGTACATTATTTGTGCTCCATATTTTAACACCCCCCCGCAAGATGGAGAGTAAATGTCAACAACTCCCATCTTGTTCATGTGTTGATAAAACTGAGAGGAATTTAGTGGCTTTGTCAAGATGTCAGCAACCTGTAAACTGCTACTGAGATGTTCAGTAATTATGCTTCCTTCTTGAATTTTGTCTCTTATCAAATGGCAATCCAATTCAATGTGTTTAGTTCTTTCATGGAAAACTGGGTTGGCTGCTATGTGGAGGGCAGATTTGTTGTCACAGAACAAGACAGCAGCCTGTGGATGATTGATTTTCAAGTCTTGAAATAAGTACCTAAGCCAAGTGAGCTCACAGCATACATTACGCAATATCCTGTCACACTCCTTCGTGAATCTGGACAAGCTCCCCAGTCTGAATCACTATAAGCATTAAGCTGCAAATCTGAACTAACAGGGAACAATAGTCCTTGTCCTGGGGCTCCTTTTATGTACCTTAACACTTTATCAGCAGCCTTCATATGGGAAGTCCGAGGAGAACTCATGAATTGACTTAGTAGTTGTACTGAGTATGAGAGGTCTGGTCTGATGATGGTCAAATACAACAATCTCCCAACAAGTCTCCTATACATACTTGGATCAGAAAGAGGCTTGTCTTCATAAAACACTACATCTCTTGAGATAAATGTTCTTTTGGATTCAAAGTCAAGAAGCTTGTACCCTTTTATCCCAAAAGGATATCCTAAAAACACACACTTTCTGGCTCTTGGCTCAAACTTAGTTCTATGATTCGCCAAAGTTGAAGCAAAAACAAGGCATCCAAAGACTTTAAGATGTGAGTAGTTTGGCTTGTGTTTGAATAGCATTTCAAAAGGAGTTTTGTTTTCAAGCAAAGGCGAAGGTGTTCTGTTTATTAAATATATTGCTGTGACAATGCAATCACTCCAGTACTTCATGAGAATATCACTTTGGATTTTTAGGGCTCTTGCAACATTAAGAATGTGTTGATGTTTCCTTTCTACTATTGCATTTTGTTGTGGTCTTTCGACACACGTTTTCTGGTGTATAATCCCCTTTTTATGGTAGTATTCTTTCATTTCAAAATCCCCCCCATTGTCTGTTCTAATCACCTTAACTTGTGATTGGAATTGAGTGTTTATCAAAGTACAAAAACCTTGCAAAGTTGCAGTAGCATCTGATTTAGCTTTTAACATATAGACCCATGTACACCTGCTGAAATCATCAACTATAGATAGAAAATATTTGAATCCATCATGGCTAGTTACAGTGCAAGGACCCCAGAGGTCACAATGTATGAGATCAAAGGTTTTCTTAGTCTTATGATGACTGACAGGGAATGGCAATCTATGCATCTTAGCCATAGGACACACAGAACAAGGTTCCTTGGGGAGTTTAGGGATGTAATTGATATTTAACAAATCTAATCTAGATTGAGATTGATGTCCCAGCCTATAATGCCAGAGATCAAAATCCTTGTTATTGCTGAGAATAGATGCTGACATAGAAGTTCTATTTGGGATAAGAGTAAGGGTTTCCGTTAAAGCTGAAGGAGAAACTTGAGATTGCTGTAGATGATATAATCCTTGCCTCACTTCACCCATCCCAATCGTTTTCCAAGTCAAAAGGTCCTGCAAAAAGCATTTTTCAGTGAGGAATATTAGACAGAATTTAGATGTTTGTGTTAATTTTCTGGCAGAAATTAAGTTGAATGAAAAGGAGGGAACACAGAGTACATTATTTAAAATGATCTTTTCTGTGACCTTTACAATTCCTATGTGTGTGACATTAACTAGATCACCATTTGGAAGGGAGACAGAAAAAGATACTTTGGCTTGAATGTTGCTGAAAAATGAAGTGCAACAGACCATGTGGTCTGTTGCTCCTGTATCAATTATCCATGGTGTGTTAGGGTTCTTACCAATACTAGGTTTGATGTCATAGGCTGATAAACAAGAAGAGATACCAGGGAGTTTGGAAGCATGTGTGTCTGCAGGTGTTGTGCTAGAAGGCATTTGCTATTTTGCAGTAAAGCCAGAAGTTGTTCATGCTGCTCCTGAGTGAATGTCACTTGGTTATGCTTGTTGGCATCTCCTTGCCCCTGCAGGAAAACTAGATTAGAACGAGCTTTTGTTCTTGCATATAACCTGTGTCCAGGGGGGTATCCATGAACTTTATAACATTTGTCCACAGAGTGTCCTGTCATGTGGCAGTGGCTACAAGTGGATTTGTTAGGATTGGCCTTGGTGCATCTTTCTAGTGAATGTCCAGGCACCTTGCAAAAGGTGCAGTAGTATTTTCTTTGTCCCATCACATTCGGCCTTGTTGAATTATGAAAGTTTCCTCTGGTTGCAAAAACCATAGAGTCAGGTACAGAAGTATCACTTGATATTTCTCTTCTTTTCTCCTCTTGTTGGACTATAGAGTAAACCTCATTCAAAGTGGGAAAAGGCTTGATCAACAGGATTTGGGCCTTGATTTCCTTGTATGAATCATTCAGCCCCATCAAAAACTTCATTACCCAATCTCTTTGTTGGTTCTCAATGACAGATTTAAAACCTCCACAAGTGCAGTTGGGAATGGACTCATAGTTCATTAATTCATCAAGAAGTGTCTTATATTTTGAGAAATACACACTTACAATGTCTTCATTTTGCATTAGTGTAGCAATGGACTGTTTTACTTCGTAAATCCTTGGGGCATTTTGCTGTCCTAACTGGTGCTCCAGGTCCAGCCAGAGTTGGCGAGCAGTGTCAGCATAAAGTGTACGGGATTTAATATCAACGGACATAGTGTTTTGTAGCCAAGCAATTACTATATCGTTGCAACGTAGCTAATGTTACATCAGAGAATTATTGGAATCTGGTGGCTCACGAAGGCTTCCATTGATGAAGGTTGTTTCTATCGTGCTAATTGAGATTAGTTGGTCCCACAGTTTTTATTATTTTTTTTTAATTGATTAGGCCAAATTAAAGTGTGTGTGTGTATATATATATATATATAGCAAGAGATTTACGCAAATTGACATCCTTTTGATTTATAGACCCCATCAATAAGAGGTTTGGTTTTATGTCCTTACAAGATCATGTTTAGTTGTATTGAAGTTATTTATTTTGGCAATATAATTTTTAGAAGTACTTATTTTACTAACAAAATTTATTTTTCTATAAGGGTCTGTTTGATAGCATTAAATTTCATGAAAAATGTCACATCCGAAAAATTTGTTTTCTACATTGACTGTTTAATACAAAAATGGGAATGGAGTTTGAATTCAAAGGTATAAACACTTAAAAATATGTCTTTCGCCAATTGAGTGGAAATCGAATTCCTATGATTTTAGTGATTTTTTTCTTTTCCAACTTATATGGAAATGATTGTTTTTTTCATATTTGCAATCAAACGGATCTTAATGGTCCATTTGATAGCATTAAATTTAAGGGAGAATTAGGCCACATACGGCCCAAAACATAAAGAAGTTGAAAAATACTTTCTTCAAGTTGAAAATTTGAATTTTACGTCATTACATATAAAATTCTTTGGGGTCAAACGGGTAAAATCATTTGGCAAAACCTTCTCTATTTTTGGCGATTAGGTAACCAAATAGTAGAAAAATTAAATTCGTAACCCACGAACTCAAGATGAATCAACTCGTAATTTTATGAGTCGAGCCACGAACGGATTG